CATGGGGCTTGAACTCTGGGCCTGGGCACTGTCCCTCAGCTCTTCAGCTCAAGGCTAGAGCTCTACCACTTGAGCCACAGCGCCACTTCCGGCTTTTTCTGTTTATGTAGTACTGAGGAATCAAACACAGGGCTTTATGCATGCACTCCACTACTATGCCGCATTCCCAGCCCCCCTCCCTTTTTTTTTCCCCTTGTGTGGTACTTGGCATGAACTCAAGGTCTTGTGACTATAGGCAAACATGCTACCACTTGAGCCATACTCCCAACCTCCCTTCCCCTGCTGGTTTTGCTTTAGTTTTTGGATAGTCTTGCTTTTTGCCTAGGCCACTTCCCTAAGACCCTGATTCTCCTATCTCTGCCTCCAAGACTACATGTGAAACATGTATGGCTTCTTTGCTAAGACAGGGTCTCAGTAACTTTGTGACCAGGCTGTCCTCAAATTATGATCCTCTCAATCTCCACCTAAGTAGATGAGATTACAGATGTGTGCCACCACATCCATCCCAATGGCTCAACTAAAAATAAATAAAACACACATTTGGAAACTATGATGTTATAAGTCAAGATTGTGGGGCTAGGTATGGTGGCACATGCCTGTAATCCCAGCTACCTCGTTATTTGCACTGTTTTTTATTTAGGAGGTAGAGGTAGGAAGATTATACTTTTAGGCTGGCCTCAGGCAAAAGTATAAAAATCTGTCTGAAAAACAAACTAAAGCAAAAGGGTTAGGAGTATGACTTAAGTGGATCTTGTAGCAAGTTCCAGAAGATTCTTAATTACAGCATGCAAAAACCCATTTCCATCATCTCCAACACTCAAAGTCCTGGCAACACTCACTGGTGCCCAGGTGCCCATAAATGGCAATGATGAGTTCTGTGTTCTCCAGTGCAGCACAGTGCCTAGCCCTTCCTGGAGTCTAATCCTAGAGCACAGGACAGGCTTAGTCATAAAGGAGTTACAAATTTATAACTGGTAGCTAAGCCCTTTTTGATGGCTCTTCAACCTGTTTTTGGATTTTCCTTATCAAAAAACTATTGCATGGAGCAATTTGTGTGTGTGTATTTGAAACTCGAGCCCTGAGTTCAAGCTCAGTACCCATATCTTCCCCACCCTTTCCACCCACCCAATAAAGGATTCAGAGCAAGAAGGCAGACACAAGGCACATTGCTGTTTGATTCCACCTGCATGAAATCTTCAGCAATGCAAGTTCATATAAAGCAGACTGGTGGTTGCCTGGGTCTGGGGAAAGCAATAGTGACTTCTGATGAGTATGAGTATGTAGTGTCTTTTGCGGGGTGGGGATGGGGGGATGAGGGGAAAATGGCAGGGATCCTTGAAAATGTCATTTTAGTTCTGGAATTGCTGAGTGATGAGGCCATTTTATATTTTACTCTCTCAAGAGAGGCCAAACCAATGCACACAGAGTGACAACTGGTTCCTCCATGTCAAAGCACATTTCCTGTTGTGTCAGTCTGGATGGGTGACAGAACAGGAGATCAGTTAGACTGGCAATCTGCCCACATGTACTGGCCATTTTATGTTCTGTTTCTATGTTTATATTCTGATGAATATGACATGTTTTGAATGTCTTTTGATTAGTTTGAAGTTGTTTATATAATCTATAAGCTGATTTATATATTGCAAATATGTTTGCATGTTTATGAATGTGTGTAAGACACTTAGCCAAGTGTTACATTGTAACTATTAAATAAGAAGCTATCTTCCTAGTTAGTATAGAAAGAACTGGTAAGCAGTTAGACATGGTGGCACATGCCTAAAATACCAGCTACTCAGAAGGTGAAGGCAGAAAGATCTCAAGTTCAGCACCAGCCAGGATAAAGTTAGTGAGTCCCTCTATCAAAAACAAAGTGAAAATAACCAGGTGGAGGCCAGCCCGGGCAGAAAAGTTCATGACCCACCATCTTCTTAACCTGTGTCATCCCAAGCTATGTAGAAGACTGAGACTGTGAAAATCATGGTTTCAGCTCAGCCTAGAAAGGAAAATCTGGGGCTGGGAAGTTGGCTCAGTGGTAGAGCGCTTGCCTTGTATGCCTGAGGCCCTGGGTTCGATTCCTCAGCACCACATAAGCAAAAAGAAAAAAGCCAGAAGTGGTGCTGTGGCTCAAGTGGTAGAGCGCTAGCCTTGAG